ACGGAGACTTGCCACGGTCTCCAACCCTCCTCCTTTCTCATCCGGGCTTGGGACCGGCCACGGCGGAGTTTTAATAGTAATTTACAATCTTCATTTCTCTTGCCTCCAGTTTTCTGTCTTCAGCTTTGTTAAGTGCTCCCGTCTCCAACACATTAAGCTAGACGTATGCAGCTTGGTGCCATTGCCAACATCCACGCCCTTCCAGAGCTTGGATAACTTGTTGCTCGCTGCTAATGCCAACGCACAGCGTCTCTTAATTTCGTTTGTCACTCGTCCTTCAGCAGCCAATGTACTCTGAAAACAGATGTTTTGGCGTATTTTTCAAAACTTTCGTGTCAAGGGTGATACAGTCTTTGGTCTGGATTCTATCAGTTTTAATCTTCGTCGACTTCTTTAGGTTAGTCGAGAGACTCATCCAATTCTGTTCAGAGTTACGAACGATAATGTCACAGCTTGGAAGTTATTTGCAAGCAATGCAATATCGTACGCAAATGCAGGGACGTTTACATAGATGTTGTGCACTCTTGCCGTCGTAGCTTCACTGATTCATTTTGACTGGCCCAGTCAAGAAGCATCGCAAACAGCAATGGGTATTCTATTTCCACTTGCCTTACTCGAAATGTTTAACACAATATAGATATTGCTATGTCAGCCTGTTCCTGGCGAATCCCTTCTCCTGCCCATATCTTAGAAATTATGCAATGTCCAAAGGAAGGAATCGCAGCAATTGACTACAATGTCAGAGCTTACTCTTCCTATCTCCGTGATTGTGAAGATGCATTATATAGTCTGAAACGACTGTCTGGCCGGGAAAATGTAATCGATGACTAATAGGTCTTATTTCCTTTTACGTCAAATATACCTTGAATGAGAATTTTGTTACTACAGATTAAGACATAGCTTAGGGCATCAAATATGCGAAATCGTTTGTTGAACAGCGTCGGGTGCCGTAAAACCGTAGCAAATCAAAATTTCCTTTCTGAAGAGAAAGCTCAAAATTAGCGAAGTCCTAAATTTGATTTTATCTCACTGCAAGTCAATTAAGATTAAAAGTGAACAGCATGACATTTCATATCCTGTCCTGTCAGTTTAACTGAAATACAATCGACAATCCTGACAGATTTAATGAAAGTTTCCCATGTGAGGAAAAGCATTGACGCTAAGCTCAGACTGTGTACTACGACAAAACCTAAACATCGTGTGCTTTAGAAACGAGTGAAGGAGTTAATTAGTATGACGCTGTATCCAAACAACTAAGGTAACTTATACATATATATATATATCTTCATCTTAATCTTCATCTTCCATCGCCGCTTCTCCTTTCGGGTCGCGGAGGCAGACACATCAGACAGTGCTTCCAACGTTCCCGATCATCTGCCAGAGTCTGAGCTTCGGCAAAAGACAAATGCAGTCTAGAACAGATTCCTTCCATATGTTTGCACTAGGTTAATCTTGGCCGTCCCCTGGGA